TGGCTAAACTTTAGTTTTGCACAACCTGCAGGGATCTGAGAGAAATGTATAATTACTGTATGAATGAGAGACACACTAAATGAAAAGCTGAAATATTTACAAGCAAAAAGAGTATTTTATTGATTATAGATTAGTACTTTGTCATCAGTATCACTTATATTTAGTTATTTACTGTGGTTGGGGTTCTCCGTCTTGCTTTCATGCATGCTCGACTCGACTTGCGTTCTTTATCTCTTGACCAGCATGTTAAAAGTGCAAGGGATTGCTGGGATATTTGTCAGCATGAAAAATTTCACATTTGTAATTTGCAACTTGAATTTTTCACAAGCCATATGGAGCTTTGTTGCAGACCAGGAGCAGAGTGCAGCTTTAGTGTAGAGCAGCCACTAAGGAGGGCAGACAGCCTGTCTCCACACATCACATTAGAAAGCCTTTTTGAGCATGCATGCATGTAGACGTGTGTGTGTGTGTGTGTGTGTGTGTGTGTGTGTGTGTGTGTGTGTGTGTGTGTGTGTGCGTGCGTGCACACGTGTGTGTGTGTGTGTGTGTGCGTGCGTGCACACGCGCGTGTGTGTGTGTGTGTGTGTGTGTGTGTGTTTCTTTGACCCTGCATGTGCATTCACTGCAAGCCTGTCTGACTGCTTGACTGAATGCACATGTCTCTCTCTGAGCTTGTGTGAGAGTGGTGTATCACCCGTAAGCCCAAATGTCTTCCTCCTTATATCTCTTTCATCCCCATCTTGGCAGTCAGACTGGTTTTCAGAGTAAGTCGAGTTCTCGCTGGTCTCTAATTAGAGGGGATGTATTGAGACTGCAGCCTATAGATTGGGAATCAATGACTCGACAGTGTGTGGTGAAGTGATCAGCGTAATCGCTGTTCCGCTTTGCTTTAAAGTCCAAGCCAAGCTGTTTTGCCAAGACTATTGGCAAAGCCACTGAGACATTTAACCACATCCTCAACTGTGCCTACATACAGGATGTCTTCATCAAAGGAGAACTTTGCAATACTGGAGCCTGCAGAGCTTTGCTGTGTGCAGAGAAAGGTTGGGGTTTCACAAATCTGTGTGGTGACATGCATTAGAAAAGAAGTCTGCAGAAAATAAAAGGAGCAAGAGCTTATCTGTGGCAGGTCAGTTTTTCATTGCATTTCCCTAAGTGGATTTGCATCATTCATTGAAATAAGAAAAATATCTCTACCTTATGTTACTATTATTTTACCAGAAGATACAAAAGTAAAGGAAATAACCAGTTCTCTATGTCATTTGCTACATGGCGAGAAAAGTTGCATGTTCTGATTTGTAATTTACTTCTTATATATTTAAAGAAAATCAGTTATTTATTTCATATGTGTCACAAAGGTTTTCCATACTTAACATAAATTAAAAATGAGCTGAAAGATATAACAGAAATATATAAAAGCAGCAAAATAAAATATCAGTTGATTTGATATTCTGGCCTGATTTGAGCTTTTTTCTTCCTAAAGTGTCACTGCTTGAGCTGAGATCTTTCAAGTCTTTGTGCTGTGATCCGCTTATGACATTCCAACCTCCCAATTTCAACTTGGGATGGATTTTATGTGTTCTTCATAGCTCTAAACAGACAAAAAAGATTATAAATGTTCTGTGTGTGTGTGTGTGTGTGTGTGTGTGTGTGTGTGTGTGTGTGTGTGTGTGTGTGTGTGTGTGTGTGTGTGTGTGTGTGTGTATGCATTGACCTTGAAGTGGCATATAGAACTGTATTAGGTCATTACTTGATTACAAATCTCTTTTCCTCCGCTCAGACAACCTGCACCTGAATAATGTTGTAACTTCGTGACTACCTATTTTACTGCAATCAGTCACCAACTAACAGGAATACACACACACACACACACACACACACACACACACACATATATATATATATATATATATATATATATATATATATATATATATATATATATAACTGCCTCTAGAAACAACATCTGAGGTAATATAAAAAGTATTCTTATCTTGTCACTTTGTTTATTCTCTCTCACCTGCTGTTGTCAGTGTTTTCATCGCTTTGTGCAGACCTTAGAACTTCACAGAAAAAATGGCTGGTAAAGTACCCCATGAGAGAAAGTCTCTTCCTCTCTTCATGTTTTTTACTATCTTTCCTTTTATGAAAATATTTGCCCTTGCCTTGTCAAGAATCTCTCTTTGAGAGCAGGTGATAATGTCTGACAGGCCCAGAGCAGGAGAGTCAATCACACACACACACACACACACACACACACACACACACACACACACACACACACACACACACACACACACACACACACACACACACACACACACACACTAATCCGTGCATATAGGTAATCACATTTTAGCAAGGACACTAATTCACTGTACAGATGCACAAATTCAGCTTGTAACCAAAGTGACAACAATACAGTATAAAGAAAACCTCAATTTTCTCTCAGAGGGTCGAAGAACCAGCACACGTTTGCGTCAGATAAAATACTTTCCAGAGAATTGAAGAAAATTACGCTGACTAATTTTTTTTCAATGTGGACTTAAAATGCTGATGTCGATATGCTGACTGCAATACAGAAAATGTAATTTTTCTATAAAAGATACTCGGGGGTGGGGGGGTGGGGGGGTGGGGGGGGGCATAGCTTAACTGGGAAGAAAAGATATCCAGTGCTTGGGAGGTGATTGGTTCCAGGTCCCCAGTAGGACATTCAAACGTATCCTTGGGCAACCGGCTCCTCCTCAGGAATGGGTCAAATACTGAAAAGGCTGTTCCCAATGAAAGTGTGTTTATTTTTATATTTTATTTGTTTATTGTTTTCAGGTGAATGGTATACATGCATTTTTAAATGTAAAGAAAATGCATTGACTTATTTCTTCCTTAAGCCACATAGTGTTATTCTGGTTTTCCACCAGTCAGAGAAACACAGTCTTTATTTTTATTAACCTCTGAATGAGCCTCAGACACTTCAGTTAAATACTTTAACAAAAGAAATAAAGTGGCCTGCTGCAAAATCAGATGAATGGAGAGCATTGATAATAACTTCTCTCCATGAAAATAATAATAAAACAAAATAAATAGCACTGAGCATGCTGCTAGAGTGAAACGGAGATATTTTTCATAATTGTGGACAAATTTGTTATCCTCTTTCTGAAAATGGTTTCTAATCCTGTCTAAAATACTCTTAGGCTGGATGGGAAAAAAATTCTCAATTGAACAACATTTACAGAATAAAAACATGTTTTATTCTTTTTTGACACAAACATACTAAAGTGTTACTATAGTGTTTGTGTTTCTCCCTGCAGAAGATTTTGGTATGCAGCAAAACACGGGTGGTCAGTGAAAATAAACAAAACAAAGACGTCCAAACTTCACATGAGAAAGTAACCGAGGTCAGTGTCTGACCCACTTGAGCAAAGTCAGAGAGTTATCACTCAGCCAGGAAATGCTGATAAACAAAGTTCTCTGTTCTTTGTCTGTTCTGTAACCCTGAAGCTTTTCTGTGAGTCACCTCATCAGGATGGGACTCCACAGACAGGAAAGCATCCAAGACTCTTTAGCTGGATTACTTCTACTCCCTTTTCTCCTTTTAAATTACCTTTTAGGTGTGTGTTCATCCTGGCTCTCAGCCAGAGGCGGCGTTACCATTAGGCAAAGGTAGGCGATTGCCTTGGGCCTCAAAAACTTGGGCCCCATGATGAACACTTAACTAATATGTTTAAGGTATTTTTCGCTCTGAAACCAGTGAACCCTGTCATTGTAAAAAGCATTGTAATGAATTGGCATGAGACTGCTTTCTGTGAGTGTTTCAATGTCCCCCGTTGCCCAGCTACCATGGACTATTCCATCCACAACGTGTTACGTATCAGCGGAGCTGCGGAAGCGAAGAATAGAAGAGGACGTTTGTTGTCTGAGAAGAAAATTAAGCGAAGTTATCACAGTGGGTCTGAAAAACTTAAGAAGCAGGAAGAAAGCAAAAAGTTTGTGTCAACCCTGCCAAAGGTCACAGATTTTTTTACGGTGCTACAGCAGAGTAACACCAACGAAAGTCGCAAATTTAATGCGGCAAATAAACAAGCTGCCGCTATCATTAGAGCTAGCAATGCTAACGCTTTTAGCGAAGTGGAGGAGTCTGTTGCTGGAAGCTCAAGTTGCGGTGATGTAGGAGGAGAGGAGCAGGAGGAGGAGGAGGAGAAGAGAAGAAACAATCTACAAAGCTCAAGAAACAGGGAAAGGAGAGAAACAAGATGATTAAAGGAGCAGAGGAGGAGAGAAAGAAACAAAGCATTCAAGGCAAGACTCAGAAGAGAGAGAGAAGGAAAATAAAAGCAAAGGTAGAAAATAGTAACTTTGACAAGGTAATGTAATTTTTTTTCTGTATCTCCATATTTAACCATTTTGTCTTTTGTTTTATTGCTTCCTTTAATGAAAGCAGACCAACTAAGGCACAAGATAGCGGTGTTTCACCAGAAAAAATGAAAACGAAGAGAATAAGTGGCTGGGCAATAAATCATTACAAACATGAATATCATTATTTTTGTACAAACCAAATTATTTCATGCTAAATACATTTGTTAAACACATTCTTTTTTCCATTCAGACGCAGTTCCAGAGATTCTTGACATCAGTGCCATCCAAGACTGGACCAGTGAAGAAGTTTTACAACCTTTTTGTAGTAAGAATTAAAAAAAAAATCAGAACAACAGCTGTGGAGGGCCTCATGTCTTTGCTTGCCTTGGGCCCCCAAATTGTTAAATCCGCCCCTGCTCTTAGCCTCGGTGGTCCCATATTTCATTGGGGATCTGACCTTGGAGTTCCTTCAGGAAGCATGCACACTATTCTCTACAACTTTACAACACATGGACAGAAATTGGCTGCCGAGGCTCTCTGCAGTGGTATTCTACAAGAGATCCAATGGGGTTGTAAACACACAATCGCTATCTGACAGCAAAGTTTACGATGCACGTGAATAGATATACGGACATACATCTACTTACCTGTGTGGCTCCTGTGTGCATGTGTGAGGGAGGCCAGACAGAGAGACACCAGCAGACTCCAGACACCTACTCCACAAAAGCAAGGACCCCGTTCCCGCATTCTGCCAAGAAAGAAAAATAAAAAAATCATCAGACATTGTTTGTCCACCAGTTTGTGTCGAAATGAGATCATTGATCTCAAACTAACGCATTAAAAATATAATAATGACATTTGGGGACACATTAATATCAATTTTCCCTCTCTGACCCTCGCTCTGATCAAAAGAAAAAAGATTTACATTTTCACGTTAACTGTGAGACTTTACTTTGCACAGACATTCGTTCTTCTTGTTGGTTCCCTCCATCAGTATATTGTGCCAACAGGCAATTAGGAAATTATGCAACACCTTGGTAAAAGCATTAAGGTGTGGGACACTTGTTTAATCAATACATTTGCAGTGGTCTCTAATAGAAACGGATACCTTGCAAATGGTACTCAGAGCAAAATAAAAAAAAACGTATGTGCTTGTTTGAGGAACTAGCAGAATGACACATCTCAACTCGACATGATTTGGAGTCTTACTTCCTGATATTTGGACATCTCACCTCTGACTGACTAACAGCAAGGCGACTCTACCACTCTTTTTGCTTTGCAACATTGATGTTTCTTCTCCACAAATAACACAAGCCTGGAGGAGTTCTGCTGTATGGTGGAGTTGCTAACGCTAATGATTAGCTTCTACTAGCAGAGACGTTCTCTGCTGTTTCCTGGATGCTAAAACAATAACAGCCTTCTCCATTGTAAGTCAAGATGGATGAGTCCATGAACGTTAAGAGACAGTGTGACTTAGATTTGACTGGCTTTTCAATCGTAGGGTTTCAGAAGCTAATGCAGGAGATAGGTGAAGTAGACTATTATCATGTTTAGCCTGCATAAAAAAACTCAGAGTGGCCGATTATAATCAGAAATGATCAGTAAAAAATGTTTTTTTCAGTGAACCACACCTTTAACTTCTGAGTGTGATAGCTTCTTAGTTTGTTTACTTGGTTTGGTTGCTTACTTGGAGCATTTTTAAATGCAATTTTTAGTTTATCACAAGTTTTTGCAAGTGTATCGGGTATTTTCACACGTCACTCCCAGATCTTTTGTCAGCCTTTATATGAGGACAGATTTGGTTTACAGATAAGAAAAAGTCTGTTTATTTGTTAATATTTAAAATTAAATTTATGATTAACATCTAGAGAAATCCGTATTACTACAAAAACATATGAAATCAGCAACTGCAAGCACTAATGTATGTTGATAGGTTGTGGTCTTACCTTCAAATAATAATAAATAGCCACTTCTGGAAGAATTAAAGATTCTCTATGATACTCAGTCAGAGCAAGTGGACATATGTTTATCTGGGGTACTTTCATTGCATTTAAACTCAACTGACTCACTGAAAGCAGTCTCAGAAGATTCTAATATTGTTTTAACACACAATGTTTTAAAATACATATGCAGCGGCTCAAACACGTCAACTCAAGCTATAATTCAGCAGGATGTAGCTCATGTTCAAATGCACAACTTAAAACTTAAAGAACTGAACTACAAAGACCGACGAACAAGGCTTTGTGAACAAGTTAAGATTCACTAGATTTCAACCATAAGCACAAACAACTTTATTGCCGTCATGCCACACTCCCTGCATTGATAAAACAGCAAAACAAGATGGCACACATCAATGCAAAAATAGTTCAGTAAGAAAATAATCTCCCACTTTTATAAAATCCACTTATCTCAATTTTTCTAAAGCTTCCAAGTCTAAAAATGGAACTAAACTCGCAAAAAGTTGCCGATATTTTCCCTTTTTCTACTTTAATAAACTGATTTTATTTTGGTTTTAGAATATAATGTGCGAGATAACTATTAAGCTCAATCCAAAGTACACTAAAAGAAAAGGACACATGAAAAACAAGTGTTTTATATTCTGGGCACTGAGTAGGACATAAAGTTCCTCAACAGACAAACAAACTGTCTCTTTCTCCCCACCAGGAGATTGTTTAGTCTGTTTCTTTGTGTACATTTTATTTGTAGAAATGACAACAAGACACAAAGTATAAAGTAAATGTATGAGACGGCATAGAATGTGGAAAGTGGCTTGCCATCTGTTGTATCTTTTACATGATGCATTCCCATTAAAAAACATCTCTGTGGAGCAGAGATGTAAATGTGCTCCAAACGCAGCTCTACAGTCTGCTCTGCTACTTCTGCAAACAAACCACCAACACTCAGCCAAGAAGAGATTTCTAACTTGTCTACAAAAGGACTGTTTTGCAAAGATTGAACTGAACATGAGCTTTGTTGAGGGTCTGACCTCATGAGGAAATTACTATGCAGTGATTTTCTCCAAAATGACTGTGCTTAAATTGCTCTGAAAAGCAAATAATCACATCAGCGCCAAGAAACTTCATTTCCCATGATGCTTTGCACACGGAAGCATTGTGATGACGTCACCGCCTAATACCAGAAACACGTTCTGCGCATGTGCGGGAGGCCGTGGAGCTTTCCCGCGAACTAAGACCATAAATCTTCAGCAGAGACAAAGAAACCTCGTTCTTTTGCCCAGGATACCTGGCGGTAAGGACACGCTTGTCGAACGCTCCGACAACTTGAGCACGCGGAAGCTCTAAGTGCCCAAGTTGAGCCACGAAACCGCTGGAAGCCACTCAACTCCATCGGGACCTGACTGGGAACGAGCGGAGCTCCATTCAGCTCTCAGAGACGCTGTAAGTTGTCAAACTCAGCACAAAAGAAACTTCGTTCTCTTTGTGTCCAGCCCGTGGAGAAACACTCCCGGAGAACGCCAAACAACGGAGAAAGCATCAAACCGACGGATGACGCTGAAAACTGCGGAGAAAACGGAGAACCGTCAAATCAAACAGCTGGGGACGCCTTGCTGCTCTTCTGGTGATCAGAAAACTCATTTTTTCTCTCTCCTTTTCTTCTCCCGTTTCCTCTATAGTCCAGAATAAGCAATAAAACCGCGCTATTGCTTAAAAAGTAGCTTCGTGTTTTCCTCTTTCGCTCCCAATTCGTCCTTCGGGTCATTTTGAATAAATAAACTGCTTATTGATCACTGTTTGGTATCTTTAAATGTTTTCTGCTTGGCCACGTGGTTAAACTAAAAGATATTATTCGTGATTAATCCTTTGTGTTGTTTCATGATCCTTTGAAATGTTTTGAGTGAATTTAAGGTTAAGTTACTGATGATTCTAAGTGCCTTGGAAGTTAAAGTGCAAGTTGCCACTCACACTTTAGCCAGACAAAGGGGTCAGCCATCTTGCATACAGACTCCATTTTAGAAACACACACACACACACATACATACACACAAAACACCTTGAACATTATTTTGAATATACATCCTTTTATTATATCACATGGTTATTATTCATTTATGCCACTGTCTATTCATTTGACAAATTGTTAATTAAACGTTATAAAATTCAGATTTTCGTCTCCAGTAGCTTTGTTGTGTCGAAGAGAAGTCTCTGCTCCAAGGATTCTACGAACTTCAAGAAAGACTGATAAGAGTTTTGGATTCAATTTTTCCCCGGTTAAAGGGGAATGGTGCCCCGTATATCTAAGAATATCTTAATTAATTAATAAATCAGTAAATATTCCCATATTTACAGAATTTATTGAAGAATCCAAAAGTAAGTTGAAGCTTACTAATTGTTCGCTCCTAATAACCCCAACAGCTTGTTTTGCTCTTTAGAGCATTTTGTTTTAATACTGAAATAAAAGGATGAAAATCATAGCAGAGGTCCTTGTAAACTAGCTTCTTTAATGCAAAGGCTGAGTGGAAAATGGGTTTACTCTAACCAAAAAAAAAAAAAAAAAAAAAAAAAACATTTTCACTCTAAATGTCCTTCATAGTCCTAATGACCTTTTTTTGCAAGGCCAAAAGGGTAAAACAAAATCCTGGATTTTGTGGAGAACGTGTGATCACATAAAAGTCCCCCAACCCAAGGTTGAGCCAGTTTCCTCTGCAGGTTGTTGTTGTCTCCCATCCCGTTTTTCATGTGTATAGACACCATCCGGTGTAGTCTCGAAGAGGATCTCTCGTGTGATTTAGGTTGATGATGAGGTTCTGTCTTGGTGTCTTACAGACATAAGTTAGTAGCTCAATATAAACGAGCTTTGTTGGGATATTATTTTTCTGCAAGTTTGACACCATGAACCAGGAAGAGGAGGGATGCTCCCTCAGAGCTCAGACCGAATTGCCTTATGCACAGTTTTTGAATCATGGTGTTTTGTTTATGAGTGAATGAAGAGAGGGATGAATCAATAGACTGGGGCATTATCTCCAGTAATAAGAATTTTCTTGATGTTTTTGATATACTTGATTATCAAAGTTCCAACTTTAATGTCTGGTGAGGAGACTAAGGTCATGACTGAAAGAATACGATTCCTGATACAAACATCTTAGATTACATTTATCTGTAGGGTGGCCAGGCTCAGCCTTAGAGTTAAGGTGAGAAGCTCCATGATTTTGAGAGAGCTCATAGTGGTGCTCCATGATAAAATAAATAAGATGAGGTTTTCCATGTTTTCCAGACACTTTCTACTGGGAAATTCCAGGTGAAGACAAATCATGGGATTCCAGGGCACTCTTAGCTCCAAGAATTCACTTTGGAAATGGATGGATGCATGGATGGATGGATGGATGGATGGATGGATGGAAGGATGGATGGATGGATGGATGGATGGATGGTGGGTGGATGGATGGATGGATGGATGGAGTGATGGATGGATGGATGGATGGATGGATGGATGGATGGATGGAAGAACGGGTAGATGGATGGATGGATGGATGGATGGATGGATGAACGGATGGACGGATGGATGGATGGATGGATGGATGAATGGATGGACAGACTGATGAATAGATAAATTGTAGGATAGATGGTGTGATGGAGATGGATGGATGGACAGATGGATGAACGGATAGATGGATGATGAATGGGAGAGATGGGTGGATGGATGGATGGATGGATGGATAGATAGATGGGTGGCTGGATAGATAGATGGGTGGCTGGATGAATGGATGGTCAGATGGATGAACGGATAGAT